TACACAATGGTCCACCAAAGTTAAATCCCCTGCCCACTCTCAACCACCACCACCTCTCGCTCACCTCGCCTCGCCAGTCGCCGCTGACTTCGCTGTGCGTGCGCGAAGTCGCCCGCGGAACTACCTTTTGTCCGCACGCAGAGTACTATGATGAGTGCGTAGTTAGGCTAGGCGTGCGTAGTAATCACGGGCCGAGACGGGTGGTCCGGTAAAGTACAATCCAGCCTAAACATTTATTAGAAGCGCTATAACTTTTCAGGTCGGCCTCAAATTCATCATAAGATAAAAACTCGGCTCCTGCACAAAGCGCCATTTTGCCCAAAGTGATCCCAGTCTGTACTCAGCCTGAGGCGAGTCACGAGTGAGGCAGGACAGGAAGCCCGAGTCACGAGTCACAGGAAGTCGGAAGTCGGAACTGATGTCACGCTGGACAAGAATCAGTCTGAATAACATTTTTTCATATTCGGACTCGAGTCCGAATAGTCACTTCGTTTCTGAATACTGTCTATCGGCGATCGGTGTGGACGATCAAATTGACCAAAACAGAGTTAAAAAATTATGTTAAAACACAAAAGTAAATTAATTTGGTCGTCTTCAAAGATACTACGGCTATTTAACTTTTCAAATCGAGCCGAACTACGCTTTTAGTAGGCTAACAGTAGTAATGGAACGTTTGTTCACGGCACAGAATTCTACAATTTTTCTGTTTTCACAGTGTAGAATTCTGTGGTTTAGGGTGAAAGCAAAAATTGGTTGGCCTAGATCGCTATAACGGTGAACGCGCACCGGGTGAGAATAGCCAAAAGACTCGCCTGCACTATTCTCACCCATCAAATTATGGTAAAATTCAGGAGGGCATCCCCCCTCCCTCCATATTTTTGTTAGGTCAGGGGCAGGGGGGGGGGGTTGCAAGCACACCTGAAACCTCCCTAGCCCTAATCTTGGGGCCAAAACCGGCAAATAATGGCTAATTGGGGGGGGGGGGACAACCGAAAAAGCGCTGAATACTTTAAATTTACACAAAACTCCGTTAACGCTGTCAGCGGCTAAGACGGTCAATCCAAAATATAGATGTGTGTGTAGGTCTGTTGACTGTTGTCGAAAATTCTGAGTCGCCGCCATATTTCCAATGTTGTGGCTCCAATGTTCGCTGTCCCGTTGGACTTCTTGTGCAAACCAAATTGAGTCTACATACCTGCAATACACGTACTATTCAACAAATAAACATTTTTAACACGTTGAAAGGAAGCTTACCGACTTTACAGCAGTGGGCGTTATGAAAAGAAATGATTTGAACCCATCATTCTGTGCCACTTATCCAAGCACACTGCATAACATGAACAAAGAAGTTGTTATAAAGGCCAATGCAAGCTAGCCTGGCTGGAAAGCAAGGTTGCCAGGTCGGTTCCGAGATGTTCAGCAATGTGATCACATGGCAAAAACGAAGTTCCTAAAAACGTGATTAATTACTTACATTCTCGAAATCGTAGATTCAAAACTAAAGCTGAGATAAAATAATAATTTCAAATCACTCCAAATAATAAAGTATCAATGCTTCTGTTGGACATTCCGCATAAAATTACCATAACACACACAAAAAAAAGGATTGTCGGAAGGAGAGGATCCAAACAGATTAATATTTTTTTAAGGGGGAGGCTATTTTTACATCCTTAGAAATTCATTGAAACTTTCAGTGCATTTTGTGGTCATGAGAAAACGTGAGAGTTTGTTTTTTTCTAGGCTTAGTCTAGGGGCCAATTCAATTTGGTTCTTTTTTTAAGAACGCTTGGATTATTGAAAAGCCAATGTGGCAGTCATTAAAACGAGGAAGCGTTCCCTCAGCCCAGTGATATATGAGTAACTACAATGGAGTAGTTCTCGCTAAGCCTGAATATGCTCGCACTTGCAATAATACATGATAATTTTTGGCCCTATCCCATGAGGAAAAAAAGGAATGACATTTTATATTTTTGCCTATACGTCTTTTGTTGTGGGGTTTGATTGTTTCTTTTTTGTTAGATAAAACGCGAGCACTGTTACAATTTATTCATTTGGTCTTCAAGGAACAGTGGGCATTATAATGATAGTGCCTGCCAAGCTTTAATTTTTATTTATTTATTTTTAAATTCTTTTTTTTTAAATGCCTCTTTAAACAATATGAGAACGACATTTTCGAGCAGAGTAATGGGACATGGGTTTGGGAGAGGCGGAATATTCAATCTAATAAGGGACACGAACATCCACATATTCAATGTACATCCCAATATTGTGTAAGCCCTAATATTCTTTCCAGTAATCAGGGTGGGGGTCCTTAAATTATCTGCCATCTAGATCAAGTATTCTTCAAAATTTCAAATAAGATTCTATACAAGTTTTCAAAGTCAAAATTCTTCTAGCCTATACGGCCTGTTTTTCCCATCGAAAATAGGCCTGCAGCGAGGTCTTAGATCTATACAGCCCTCATCATACGTAGTCACCGCTTTCCTTCTCTATATCGATGGTGTAAACTCAATCGCACTCAGTGCCCTTGTAGCTGGCCAGAATTGATATAAACGCTCATTGAGCAGTGGTAAACTCGACCTTTTTAAAACACTGCGACTTCTTTGGCTCCTGCTGCTGTCTTTCAGCCACGTCCCTGATCTTTTGGAAGGATAAGATCTAACACTTAGCCTTTTCGGATAATTATCCGTGAAAAATCTCGGATGAGGTCCCGTGAGCAAGTTCTGCACACTAAAGACCCTTTGGTGATCCAAAATCGATAAGAGCCTAGTAGGCTTCGGCCGCCACCCGGACAAAGTTCAAAATTTCCTGCTAACTTGAAGTGTTTAATGTGTCCCCCGCGTTTATATGACAGTTGAGAGCCCCGTAAAACACTCAAAAAAAACACAAAAATAATAAAAAATAAAAAAAGGACGTCCGATCGGAAAGAATGAGCAAGCCACACAAAAGGTGCTCGCCAACCACCACCACCTCGACTACGCTGTAACATGGAGTTCCCGGTTTCATACTATCAGTAGTAAACTCCCACTCATTGGTGGGCTGCAAGTTTTTATTGACTCTTGCTTTTGTTAGACACTTCATGTATCCTACGCCATGCTTCACTCAGTTTAAGGTTTTCCGCATTCAGTTCCACACAGCAGCAAAAAGATGTGTGATCATGAGCGGTGTGCGCACAACAGGCTGTGTGTACAGCTATACCCCCCCCCCCCCTTTTATTTTTCCTCTTTGTGGGCACAACAGGCTGAACTGTATATATATATATATATATATATATATATATATATATATATGTATATATGTATATATGTCCCCCCCCCCTTTCCTCTCGGCCCTTATTTTATAGGCGGTGCCCATTGGAGGATCTGTTCGGCAGGGTTTCCGGCAGCCTCAGTGCACACTATGAATAGACTAACTGCCCAAACCGATGGCCCTATGCGCAGCCTTGGAAACACAAACAGCATTGCTTTCTCTCCTTGGATCAGGGTATAGGCCACGAACCAACATTTTCACTTTCCAGAGCTAGCCTCTTGGTGTATTCCCTGTCTTCCCACTTATCTCTACATCAGTATCTGTAACTTTTCTCCAGGTTCCACGTGGTCTTCCCCTTGATCTTTTACTTTTACCCCGACGGTTCCAATCAAACACTTTACTGGTTATGCAGCTGCTTGACGCCCTGAGAGTATGTCAAACCCATCCCCACCTCATTTCTGGTTGGGTTCTGTCTTATTGTTCTTGGATAATATACTTCCTCGTTGGTGACCCTGTCTGCCCATCTAATCCTCCGTGACTTTCTTAGACACTTGTTCAACAAAACATTGATCCTCAGCAAGTGTCTGAGATGCGTCCCATGTCTCACATCAATACAACAAGAGTAACTTCACATTCGAGTATAAAATTCTTAGCTTTGTACGAAGTGAGATAACCCTGGTCCTCCAAATCCTATTCAAAGATAAAAGCAGCCTATGACTTCCGGATGTGGGACTTTATTTCAGCTCTTGTTAGTGTTTCTCCCCCTCTGTCAATTATACTCCCAACATAGCGGAAGGATTCGACGTCATTTAGTGCATTTCCTTCAGTTATGATCTGCTCCTTTCGTTGAGCATCTATCCTTAGGACCTTTGACTTTCCGGTGAGGGTCCTCAATCCAACAGACTCTGATGACAGGCTGTTTATTAATACTGAGCTTGAAAACAAACACATTTATTTGTTATTGACGGTCATCATTTTTGGGGTTTTGCCCATGGCCTTCGTGATACCTTGTAATAACGAAGGCCATGTTTTGCCCCTCCCTTGGAGGACAATCCGGCTAGCCCCAAACCGATGATGCCAATGGGCACCGCCTATGATGGAGACAGCTGAGAAACTGGAAAGAACCAGTCAATAGGACTTGTGTCACTCAGTGTCCCCTCGTGAGTTTTCCAATGGAGGGGGCTCTGGACACAGACACCAACACTCAACTTTAACCACTTGCGGGTTTTAGTTCAGTTTTAGTAAGATTTTACAGCGCTCACAACTACACAAGGTTATATGAGCGCCAAGGGGTGGATGTCAACAGAGAAGTCCAAACGGGGAACCAGGCTTACTCTGCTCACCTTTCTAGCCTCAACATCACAAAGTCTGCTTCCACTATCAAGGCACCCTGGAAATAGCGGGTCACAAGAGTGTGAAAAACATACAAAAGAAGTAGAAGGTAAAATGACGATAGTAAGGATTAGGAAAGAAAAAGCAGCAGTTCTCCCTATGTTGTTCCGGCACAGTAGGAGCATGACATTGATAAATCAGCCCATTTACAATTCCATTGTTCATAAGAACATGTTAACAGATCTATCCCCCCTTTGGGAATCCACTTGGTGGCATAAAGAACAAAAATATATCATATAAACAATACACGGAAACAGCACAGAACTTCAGTAGCTTTCATGAAAGTGTTTAATAAAAGATTCATGATGGAATTAAAATAAGGGAGTTAGCTGCTGGTCATAGCACACAATTATGGAGGAATCAAGATTCTCAATTTGGATCACCAAAATTCATACCATTTTATGGGCAAATCAATACATAATATCATCATATTATATAACTTCAAAGCTTGTAGCGTTTATTACATTTACATGGTTGAATATAAACATGTAAATTAAGCAAGAACTAATCTGATTACAAAGGAAATATGACATTGACAATAGAAATTTATAATAGAGGGCCAAACCAACGGTCTAAAAGAGCTTGGAAAGAAAACCTTTTTTGTTGTGCTTTATTAGACCCAGTGCATGCTACAATTGGCTTCAATCGAACTGAGTAGGGGGTCAGCAAGATTTGCTCCATTAGAGGACAAAAGCTGCAATTTTGGCAAAACACAACCGATTCAACTTGTGACCTTGAAAAATAAATGTGTATGACTTTCACGGTCACTGCTGAATTTAGTTGAATTCAGTCACATTGTGTCAAAATGGAATTCAGTCACATTGTGTCAAAATGGTAGCTTTTGCACCATCCATGAAGAAGAATCTGGCTAGCCCTGACTCATTAAAATGAATTCATTTGAACCTGATAGTCCCTTGCCTTCTACTTCTACTCCATACACATCTTTTCATAGCCTTTTACACATTTTGTAATGCTAATGGGGGTAAAACATCAAATTATATTACTGGCGAGGTTAACAAGTCCGACACACAAGCTCAAATTAACCACACCAAATCTCAACCTAGCAAAAAGTACACGCTTGAAAGTAACATGGGACTCCCGTTGGGGAAGGGGGGGGGGGGTCGTCAAAATAAGTAAGATGAAACTTATTCACTAAAAACACTACACAACACTAGAAATACCGGCACGACTACAAATGTAAGATTGCCTACATTTTATACGGGCAAAGTAACAGTAAGAAATAAGAGCTGAAATTCCTGCTAATAAAGTTCACTAACTCTTCCTCACATCAGAATCAATAAAACTAAAACATAGTCATATAGTACAGTCTATAGTATACCCTAACAACCGCCTGCATAAGATGGCATCTTGCAACACAAATAGGTAATGAAGTGCCGAAGATTTGAAGTATTACTAAAGACAAATACAAAGAAAAGAATGAGGAGAGATTATAGATAAATGATAGACGTTTGATTGGAAAGAATGAGAAAACCACACCAGAGCACCCACCAACCACACTGCTGATAACTGATAAATACAGGGAACATCACGGACATAAAGCACAGTTATTATATTATACAGGTCCAATAGAAGTTCCCCATGAATACTTACCATGGCTACAATAAGACACAGCTACAGTGAGCATAGTTCCAGATCTTCTTCTACTGTCTACGGAGTACGATACACCAAAGTTTTATCAAGAAGAAAGAAATTCAGCCTTCATACTTAGCTCATATGACAA